TGACTTTACTTGTTTTCGTAGCTTAGGGGCAGTAGGCTTTGATCTTTATGTATCGTTGCGTAACACTTAACCCATTCGTGACAATGGCAGCCACCGGTGGCTGACAAAGATCTCACTCGGGACAATGGTATCCACCGGTGGCTGCCGTGTTTCAAATGGAATTTGGAAAGTTTTCTTTCCTGAAAAGAATCTTCATACCCTCATTCATCTACGCCAGCCCTGGGCAGGGAAATCTCCATCCACTCAAATTTTATTGAAGAAAAATCTCCTGACTCTCCTGCTAATGCGCAATCCGGCGCGGTCGCGAATGGGTTAAAGTGTATGGCTGCTACATAGTAAGAAATTCATTGCTCTCCTTGAATGTAGGCAGCCGTCACACATAGTGGCTAGCCTATTGATGCTAAGAATTAAGACAAAAGCACTTGAGGTAAATGTCAAGCGGTTAATCGCTAGATTTGAATTTCTGTCATTCTTGGGTGATGTAGTTGCGATGAATTAGTTCCTACATTTCATGAACTATGTTCTACTACCATTTAAATTATTAGCTTTATATTGTATCTGCCTCCAGGAGAGAATGAATTTATACTGCTCAAATAGGTCGAGTGACGGTGTAGGAGCATTATACCCGGAGGGATCAGCTTTTTCTCCTTATTTTTTTCATACTGTGGTCATCTCCAGCCTCAACTCGTTCGTAATTGATGTTGAAATTACACCTTAATCCTCTCTTTCCTTTCTTGCTTATTTCCCGCATCACCTCAGTGTTTCGAAGTCATATTCCGGTAAAGAATGATCCTAGATTTTTATTAGCGAACGCAGAGGACTGGTATCAATCAATTGTTTTTGCTACCGTCGACATATGCAGTGTGTTTTGTTTCCCCAGGCAATTGAGTGACGAGATCCATATGGTGAAAATTTGTAGCATCACGAGGGGATTTGTTATGAGAGCCCTGCTCTTTGAAAAGCGGAGCCAACTAGAATCAGTAGATTTGCTTCAGAGTGAAGATGTTTCATTTTCTTCAACCACTTCCTTCAATAATGCCATATTTAGTAACAGCTGCTATGATGCTTCCCGTGATATTATTTACAACTTTGATAATCTATCCACTGAAATCTCCATCAAAGGAAAAAAATCGCAGTTCATTCCATGTTCATATTCAACCCCTTTCATTTTGTCGTGGGCTTCCACAGATTTTTTTAACGTCTTAAACGTTATTTCACTAGGATGCCGATTTGGGCGACGAATACGGCTGGAAACAGGTGCATGGAGATGTGTTTCGTGCGCCGTCGATGCCGTTGTTGTTCTCCAGTTGTATTGGTGCCGGCTACCATGTGTTCACCGTAGCAGTTATCACCATCGTACTCGCTATCGTTGGAGAATTCTACACAGAGTGGGTTTACCTGATATTATTATTGGTCGTTGTTTATTAAACTTTTGGTATCGTAATTAGTACTATTTGTTGGAATTATTCGCTTCAGACGTGGATCCCTTCTTTCTGCTGCGATTTTTGTGTATGCGGCCAGCTCACCCGTGAACGGTTATGCCGGTGGATCCATGTACGCGAGGTTCGGCGGACGACACTGGATTAGGCAAATGGCCCTCGGAGCTTTCCTTCTTCCGAGTTTGGTGAGTTTCTAAAGTGATCATTTCTTTTCATAACCCTTCCAAGAAAAGATGATTAGCGGCTCATGTTTCTTCATATATCATTCGGTCTGATTCATTTCTACCACATTGTTATACTGGTTCTCTTATCTTATATTTCTTTTTGAAATTAATTTTCAAAATATTCAGTGGCCAGGCTTGTTTTTTATCAAGACCTTTTCCAACGAGACTCATACTTTAGGTGTGCGGTGTTGCGTTCCTCATCAACTTCATAGCTATTTATTACCACGCTTCGCGAGCTATTCCATTCACCGTTATGGTAAGAATTTTATCCAATAAGTTGTGCATAGTAATTTTCAAAATTTATCGCCAGTTATTTGCATGTGATTCGTCTCGGTGGGTTGCTTTTCGAAGTGAAACACGCTCAAATCTAGCACTCACTTCCATATTGTGGTGATTCAATTGAATTCCAGTTAGCTGTCAC